GGGCCTGGGACACAGGTTCCCTCCCCCTCCAGCCCCCAGCGCTTCCTAGTCCTGGACAGACCTGGGCCCCTGCCCCACCTGCCCCGCACCTGCACCTGCTCCTCACCTGCCCTGCACCTGCCATGTGCTGCCCCCTGCCCCCAGCCACTGAGCTGGCCATGGCTGGAAGTGCCCACCAGCGGCCATTTCGGGAGGGAACCGTCCTCAGAAACGGGGCTGAGTGCCTTGCTGGAGCGCGGAGATCTGCTTCCCGCCAGAGTGTGCGGTCCGGGTCCGAGGACGCCCAGGTGGTGCTTCCTGCGGAGGGAGGGGCGCCAGCGGTTCATTCACACTGGATGGCTCTTGTTGTGTTGACTGTTGTCATTATTTTATTTGACAGTTTCCCTTCCATGGCGCCAGCGGGTTGTCAGGAAGCAGGAGTCGGAGCTGCGGGTCCTGAGGGCGCCGGGCCCTGCTGGCCATGCCAGCCCGCTGTCCCACCAGCCACAGCCCTGGCGCATGCAGCGGGCAGAGGGAGAGCCTGTGGGCATGTGGCGGTAGAGGGCGGCCTGAGGGGGGCGGGAGGCAGCTCCTTGCTCCTGTCTCTCACCACCACCCCCAGCCTGGCAGGGGCATCGGGAGGAGACTGAGGGGCTCTGGCGGGGCAGGTGGCAGGGACCCCCTCAGCCCAGCAGCTCCTCTTTCTTCGGGACGAATTTCCCAGGCCTGTGCAGCCCCCTCCCTGGGCCACGCCTGTTTCTGCATCTGCAGAAACAGAGCCCATGTCCGCCCCGCCTCCCTCTGGGAGCAGCCATCCCCAGGCCCGGCCAGCGCCTCCAAGCCTGGCCCAGAGCCACACACACTTCTACAGGGGCGCCCAGACCATAGGCACAATTGGAAGAGAGGGTCGGGGAGCCCTCATCAAGGGGAGCCTAAGGAGCCCCAGCCCTAAGCTCAGAGCCTGGACTCAGACCTCCAGAGAGGACTTCCGTGAGGGGCTGAGGCGGGGGGGGGCCCCAGTGCCCTGAGTCAAAGCCAGGAGGCCGAGCCGCCCAGGGGGCGCCACCATCCCTCCTCTACCCAGGCCCCGAGTCCCAGTCAGGTGTTAAAACGAAAAACAGTAATAGAGAGAAACTGCCTTTGGCAGACTCCGTAGTAGACAACACAAGGAAAGACGCATGAGTTTGAAGAAAACACGTACACAAATTGAATGCAAAGAGAAAAAAACAGTGGGGAAAATTCTATAATTAGCAAAATAGCCTTCAGAAATAAGGAGAAATAATTTTATAGAATAATTTCATAGAAAACTCGAAGGTAGGTGAATTGAGATTATCTGGTCTTAAAACAACAAAAAATAAAAAGAAATGAACACAGCCTCAGACCTGTGGGGACCACACAGTGGGGAGGGGTCCCAGAAGAAAAGGGGAAAACGTTCCCAAACTGGGGAAACACGTGAAGCTCCATGTCCAAGGAGCTCGGGGATCCCCGCCCAGACCTCGCACAGCAAAGCCATCGCGACAGGTGCACCGGAGGCACTGGGCCCAGTTCAGCCTCAATTCCCAAGAAAAACTTCAACAAACTGGGAACATAAAGGAACTCCCTTAACTGAATAAAACACATTCACAAAAACCTCTAACTGACAGAGTGAATGGTGAGAGCGCCATGCTTTCCCCTAAGATTAGAAGCAGGACCAGCATGCCCTCCCTCGTACGCATCATCACGCCGAAGGTCCTAGCCAGGGCGATAAGGCAAGAAAAAATAAAAACGGGAAGGAACAAAGAAAACTGTCTTTGTCTGCAGAAGCGGTGGCCACCGACATGGGAAGTTCCGAAGAACCCACCAAAAACACTGAGTGACACATGCAAACGCTGATCCTCTGCCTCTGCCCCGCAGCGGACAGCCGGCGTGTGACCGCTACTCATGGTGACCCCTCCCCCGTGAAGCACTTAGGTATAAATCCAACCAACTGTGTACGAAATCTCTGTGATGAAAAAATGCGAGTGTGGGTGAAAGAAATCAAAGACTTAAATAAACGGAGAGGGGAATGGTTTGCGTGAATCACGAGACCCAGCGTTCTAAAAATATCACTCCCTTCTTTCATCTGTAAATTCTCCACAGTCGCAACAAAAAGCTCAGCAAGATTTATATGTGTCCCGTTAACTGAAAGTCGGATGGATGGGTGGATGGATGGGAGAAAAGGTCACCGGGGTCCAGGTCCCCCCGGTGCTAGGCCCCCGGGGCTTTCTGCCCTGTGACCGCCTGTACTTTGCCGATCCGCTTGTCCTGCTCAGGCCTAACGCCTCCCACGCGCCTCCTCGAGGATCTGTGGCTGGTCATGCGGTTTAGCCCCCTGACCTTCCCTTCCTTCAGGGAACATTCAGGCCTCGGTTGCATTTCAGCGCCAGGCCCAGAGAGGCTGCCATGCCTGACCTCACACCAGCTGCCTTGAGTAATGACCCCTGCCCTGACGCCAACCCATCCACAGTGGAGACCTGGTCCCTGAAAGGAATCACCTGCCAAATATTCTGTTGAGATCTTCCCCTGGGCGCCCCGCTAAAACTTCCACCCTTAAAATGCCTAGGGCCCGGTCAGCGTGGCTCAGTGGTTGAGCGTCGACCTATGAACCAGGAGGTCAGGGTTAGATCCCCGGTCAGGGCACATGCCCAGTGTGGGATGTGCAGGAGGCAGCTGATCAATGATTCTCTCATCATTGATGTTTCTGTCTCCCTCTCCCTCTCCCTTCCTCTCTGAAATCAATAAAAATATATATATTTTAAAAACCTCCCTGCATATCCCACAGACACAACGCCCCTCCTCAAGCCTCCTCTTCCTGCTCCCATGGATGGGTGGATGGAAGGATAGGTGGATGGATGGATAGATGGATGGTGGATGGGTGGATGGGTGGGTGGATGGATGGATGGTGGATGGTGGATGGATGGATGGTGGATGGGTGGATGGGTGGATGGATGGATGGATGGTGGATGGGTGGATGGATGGATGGATGGATGGATAGGTGGACAGTGGATGGATGGGTGGATGGATGGGTCAATGGGTAGGTGAGTGGATGGGTGTATTGATGACTCGATGGATGATTAAAAGTGGCAGGATTCTTGCAGCTTAGGAGCTTTGAGCCTGGAGTCACTATACCTGCCAGTGCTTTTCTTGGGCAACACCTGGACCCCAGGTTGGCAAGAGTGGGGTCGCACATGCTAATACCCGGAAGATATTTGAACACAACAGGGCACAGAACTGCCCCTGCCAACCACCTCTGAGACCCCCCAACCCCCAGGGAGCTGGAACGAGCAGAAGGGCACCCATCGCTGACCGTGCAAGGAAGGTCCCAGGACCCAGGATCCACGGGAGGACGCTGCCCCTGCCCCACGTGCCCCCCACGGCACAGACACAGGAAGAGGCGCCACGCGGACTTCTCTCTTTTTACAAAGACTTTATTGTCTGACATGCTTGACAAAAAAATTACAGCCACAATCAAGTTATGCCAAAATGGTTGAGGAGCACACATCAGCTCTCGTAGCTCTAGGACTTGTAATGCATTTTCTCTTAAAGTAACAGCTGCCTTCATAACGTCTTCTCCACATAAAAATACACCCTATTCTGAAGATACCTTAGGAAAATTGTTTTTAAGTTTATAGATCTTGGTCCACATAGAAATGCAGTAGAGGCAACTGAAAGGGCCTGTGTCCCCCCCCCCCCAACTCCGCACACACGCTATGTGTCTGGGGGCACCCCCGGGACCTCGTGAACACCCCAGCCGCCAGGAACCACTTGGGCCAAACAGGGCTCCTGAAGCCCTGCCCCCCAAAGCGCGAAGCTGACCTGGGCCAGTGCAGTGTGGCCGCAGCCCCCCGACGGTGCCCTGAGCCCCCCAGGGAGCCTCGCCCGCGTAGGAAGGAATCCGGGTCTTGGGGATGCCAGGGTGCGGGGACAGCACCCTCAGGGCTGCGGGACGCCATGAGAAATTAACCAGACAGGTCTGAACGGGACCGTAAGTTACCAAAAACAAGAACCTTGGGCACGCATTGCCTTGCAGGGCGGAGCGTTGGGGGGGCGGGGGGGGAGCAAGGTTCAGATCCTGCCTCTGCCCCTTTTGAGCTGTGCAGCCCCAGGCAAGTTACCCTCTTGGCTCTATCTCATCTCTAAAATGGGGCCAGCAGCCCCACCTTGCAGGCTTGACTGAGATGTAACAGCAAAGGGCTCACTACATGCTGGTTCCTGGGCTGGGACTGGGGGGACGTGAGTCAGTCCCTCCTCCCGGGTGCACAATTTAAGGGGTTACCCAAAACCTCAGTGAGGACGCTAATGGATACTATTTTAATGCAACATTTTTAAAAATCAAAGTCGATGCAAAAACATCCATGATGAACAAAAGAGCCAAATTATAAATGAAGACAGACCTGAGGCTGTGCGTGCCCACCCTGCCTCCCTCGCCGCTCCCCAGCCAGGCCCTGCCGGCTGCCCCTCCCTCAGAGATTCAGCCCAAGCCCGCCCCCCCAAGTCCTGATTTTTAAAAAGAAAAGGGAGACCCCTGTGCCCGGGACCTGTGCTGTCACGGTGCCACCTCCCGCTATGGGGCAGCTGGCGCTGGGACGAGGTCCATGACCTACTCAGCCATCCTCCACTGTGGGCGCGCCGGGTGGAATCCTACCAGCACGAGGGAAACCCACGGCGGGGGTGGGGGACATTCGAGGACGGCAATGAGAAGCATGGGATCCGCTCGTTAAATTAAGAGGGGTGTGCATGTGCGTGCATGCGTGTGCACAGTGCACGCCAGCCTGAGCACACGTGTAGCAGGGTGGCCTCGGCCTGTGGGCCCTCCAGGCTGCCAAGTTCTGCAGACCAGTGTAGCCCCCGTGGGACCAGGCCTCGTCCATGGCTTGGCAGCCCTGCAGCCGGTCCCGGGCTCGTTCTGTAGAACCAACAACCCAAATCATCCAGGCTCCGAGCGAGTGAGCATCAGCAAAGACACCCACAGGAGCAAAGGGGAGCCACGCGGGCCGCGGTGG